TTTTTTGGTAGCCCATGTGGAGGATACTATAGTGGCAGTACGTATTTACGCCGAGGAGATTGATCTTGGTGTAATTTCGGTCTACTTCTCGCCCGCCGAGGACCTTAACCCACACTTATTGAAACTGGAAGGAATTGTTAGTCTTTTTGATAATTTTATAATTTGTGGTGATTTTAATGCAAAAAATGTTATATGGGGGGCTAGATTTAACGATTCTCGGGGACTGTTAACTCTTAATTTTATAACTGAAATGAACTTGATTCTTTTTAATGAGCCGGATTCGCCTCCTACATTTGTTTCCTCGGTTGGGCAGGGGTGGACCAATCTTGTAATCGGATCCTTCTCCTTGAATCAGTTTGATATTCAGCTTGATATTCTTGATAAGAATCACACAGCAATCATCGTTTTATTTTGATTGATATTATAAAAATTTAAATTTTCAGTTCTGATGACTATGTTATTTCGGTTGATAACAGGCGAATTCGCTCCTTTTGTAATAAACTGAAAAAGGAAATTAGAAAATTTGAATATCTTCTCGGAAGTATTGACTCTAAAAAAGGCTTAAATAACTTCGTTTTTTATCTGGAAGATTTTTTGACTTCAAATATGAAAAAACTTTTAAAATCTAGGAAGAAAAATAAATCTTTAGCCACTTGGCGGAATGACGGACTGGCTCATACTCGTAGGAGAGTCCGTGCTCTGAGGTCCAGATCTCAGGTCAGGACCTTGAGATAAAAATTGAATACAAAAGAGAACTTGCATTATACAGAAAACTAATTCGTAAATCTAAACGTGAGTTTAAATACATTCAATTTAAAAAAATTGAAAATTATTAGACAAATCTTTTAAAAATGCTACTAATAAGAGTAAAAATAATATTTTTTACTCAACAAGTAATTTTTTGAATCCTCAACATTATTACGAAACTATATTAGATAATGCTCTTGATTTTGGTTTTTTTTTTTTGTGATGACACAATTTGCTTTGATGATTATGCTGGCTATGAGGAAAAACAGTTCACCAAGTCCGAACTCGTTTCTGTTATTTCCGCGATTCTATTAAGAAGTGCACCGGGTATCGACGAAATGGCTAAGATTATTTTGATACCGAAGGAAGTGAATCGTTTTCGACCGATTTGTTTACTAAAAGTTTTTGCTAAAACTCTTGATAAGTTGATTACAAAAAGGATTTATCACCATTTATTTATTAGTAACTTAATTTCAGAAAGACAGTTTGGTTTTGTTCCTGGTAGGTCAACAGAGGGTGCTCTCTACCAGGGGTGGTTGATTTTATAAGATATAATAAACCTAATTTGCACGTCGCGGTGGTCTCCGTCGATATTTCCGGTGCCTTTGACGCCGTTTCTTGGCCTTCTCTTCTTTCCTCCTTGTGTAATATTGGTATTAGCTCAAATAGTTTCGGGACTCATTAGGGATTTTTTTCAATGATAGGATTATAATCTATAAACCGAATAACATGATTGAAATTAAAAGAAGTATCTTCAAGGGTTGTTCACAAGGATCTTGTAGTGCTCCACTGTTCTGGGGCCTCATAGTCGATAAATTTTTAAAGACAGAATTTGATTCGGGGGTCGATCTGGTTGCTTATGCGGACGATTTGGTTTTCCTAATTACAGCTGAATCATTAGAAAAAGTTGAAAATAAATTTAATAACATTATGAAAATTTTTATCAATGGTGCTCTGAGGGGCAAATGAAATCAAATGCTGCCAAAACTAAATTTTTATTTTTTCCTAAGTCCGGTCGCCACACTTGGTCCCCTAGATTTAGATTTAACGGTGAAATTTTGAAAATCAATCAAGAATTTAAATATTTAAGTGTTTATTTGGATTCAAAACTCAATTTTAATTATCATTTTAATTATATTGAAAAACGAACTGATTTAATTTTAAATTTTTACAAAAGGAAATTCCCATCCAATATTTTGAATAAAAGAAACAATATTTTAAGACTTCTTTATAATAATGTTTTTATACCCATTGTTATGTATGGAATTACGGCTTGGGGTCGCAGGGCAGGGAAATTACTACACTTACGTATGAAACTCAATTCCATTCAGCGGAGCTGGCTTCTCGCGCTCACCCGTTGTTTCCACAGTCTCGAGTGAGGTGCTTTGCGTCCTGGCGGGCACTCCGCCTCTCTCGGTAATCTACAAGTTTTATTATGATAAAACTATAATAAGAAACAATATTTCGGACTTATTTAACTATTATGAAATCCCAGTTTTGCTGCTACATTTTCTGTCTTTAATTTACATCTGATCCATCCGGCAAACCGTATTTCTATCAATTATAATATTTATGATCCTTGTTTCACGGAATACCAAATTTTTTCTGATGGATAGGGTTATGAGGGCGGGGTGGGTTCGGCTTTTGTTGTATATTATTTTGATACTGAGATCTATCACTATAAATTGGTCCTTGAAAAAATATAACTCTGTTTATCAAGCCGAGCTCATCGCCGTCCTCTATGCCCTTAAATGGATATTGAAAAGTAATTTTGCAAGAAATTCTAACTTCTATATTTTTACAGATTGCATGTCTTGTTTAAATGCACTTTATAATGCAGAAAATAATAATGGTCTGATTATCGATATTAAAGATCTTTTCCAAAAACTATCCTTATCCTTTAATATTAAGTTTGGTTGGGTTAAAGCCCATATCGGAATATACGGTAATGAGAGAGCGGATGTGCTCGCAAAAGAGGCTGCCATAGGGAGTGTTTCGGGGACGCCTTATGTTCAGGGTTAAAAAAAAATAGCAACTAAAGTTATTTATTCGTTTTATTTTAAGCAATGGCAGTTACAATGGAATTCTTCTGAAAGGAAAAGTCGCTATTTGAAACATTTAGAACTGATTAGGAAAAAAAAAATTATCTTTAATGATTTTGAAGTTAACCAGTTTCTGACCGGACATGGGCGTTTCCCGGGATACTTCGCTAGGTTTAAGATACAGAACGAAGATAAGTGTAAACTATGTGATCTATTTGGTGATGCTAAGCATTTCCTCGAGGTCTGTCCCTACTTTGATGGCTTAAGAAACAATAAAAATATTGATTTTGAAAATCCCTTTTTATGCTATAAAGATTTCGCACAATTATGTAAATCTGTGATGAAATTTATTGACGGTGAGCCCCGGGCAGTGGGAATCAGTGTATGATATTTGCATTTTATTTCCATCACTATTTGGTATATATTATTAATTTGTTGTTACTTTTGTTTGTGTTTGTTATTCGCGTTTTTGTTTTTGTCTTTGGTGTCTGCTCTTGTCTAAATGTTTGTATTTGTTCCTTTTCTTCACTTTTATGTTTATAATTATTATTTACACATGATTATTCTCATTTAGATATTTTATGTTTCATTTTTTTCCTTTGTTGAAATGGGCGTGGCCTGTCATGACCATAAGACCAACTTGTTTGGTTAGGCGGGTCGAGCTGTGCCCGCTACTGATACTGATACTATATAGTGGCATTTCAGTACTATATAGTGGCATTTCTGACTACAAAGGTTTTTCAGTTCAGTAAAATAGTTTCTTACGACAATAAAGTTTCATGTTCCTCAGATGTGCAGATAATGGTTTTACGATTTGAAAGCTTATGTCTTCTAAAGGCGATAAGCTCGATTTGTTTTGAAATCTTTGCAGCGAGAGATCTGTTTTTAAACATTTTTCTGATTTATGGAGTTATGATTTCTCTGCCCCATTCCAAACCTCCCTGTTTCTTTTCGTTCTACTTTTATCAAATTAAATAGTTGCAGAAGACGTTTAATCGTATTAAAAATCACTTAATTTTCATTGACTCATCATGAATGATTATTGCACTGATCTGCATAAAAGTCGTGTGACTTTACTTGATCAAGAACTATCATTCCATTCCAACGTAAAACGAATTATCGCTCTATCTTTAAAGAAACTACAAGCCATGGAAAGATTTTAATAATATTTTTATTAAACAGAAATTATAATATCAATGCAGGTTCTTAAGCTAACAGAAATCAACTACAACTTGTGGTGATACAACTAAAGAAAGAGTAAATTTCAATTTTGAGCGTGCTGGTTGTAAAAGACGAAACAATTAAATTTTAATCTAAACTGGCTTTATCTCTACCAGGGTCACAGGTTAAAAACTCTTGGAAGCAATAATCTTGGAAGTAGAACAGATGCAACTTACAGGAGCTGATAGAACTAAGGCAATGGTCCTATGAAAGGCAACAATGCATTCTGTCTCACAGTCCAAAAAACCTCAGCTAATACTAACTGATTTCAATTCTCGTGAGGAAGCGTAAAAAAGAATTTATAGTAAAAGTTGAAAACCGTCAAAAGTTGTCATACTGTACCGTCAAAAGTTGGTTCATAGATGAAAAGACCTGCTTGTCACTTACTGATTATTGACGCTGAATGGTGTAGATATTATAGTGGCGTGGTGGTTATGTCTTTATATATCCTTGAATTGGCATGACTCCTTTTCTGTAAACATAATTTCATATTCACACACACCATAACTTTAAACTCAACTGAAATAACACAACGAATAACAAAACCACTAAACTAAAATTCAAACATCTTATGCTGCAGCTAAGGGCGAAGTGAGCGAATTCACTGCCGCGCTAGCAGTTTTTACATAAACCACATGACGTGGATTGGCTGCGTACGCAGTCGAACATTAGATTGCCACAGAGTATCCCCCCAGTGAGACAGTCTCGACACAAAAGGGATTGGCTGTAAATTTCCAATTTAAGATATGCACATTCAAATAACAGTTATACTTTAAAATTGTACGTACAAAAAGAAATACAAATATATGAATAGTAATAATACATTTACAATTCTCATTGGAATATATACCATACAATGCATAACTTAGTTAAACAGAGATAATGAAACGTTAATAAGTGTTTTATATAACTCCCAATACGTATGCAAAAAATTATTCCAAGTATCTACACATTGTAACATTTGCAGCAAACCACAAGAGAAAAGTTTAATCATATTACAGTAATTAGTTTTTTAGGAAAATGAACACGACGTCCACTGCGGGTAACTACTTGTTTTGGAACAATTTTTGAGGCTTCGCAGACTTCGTGTGGAAACTGAGGAATTACAGGTGAATTTATACATTCTGACAACGTATATGCTGGTTTTAAACGATCGATTGTAACTGTAATCTTTTTGTTATTTACCTCAATAATAAAATTTTTATCCATTCGTTTAACCACGGTATGAGGACCAGTGTAAGGTGGAGTTAGAGGTGATTTAACAGAATCGATACGCAGAAATACATGAGAACAGGTTTGAAGTGCTGGATGTACATAAATTGTTGATTGAATATGCCTAGAGGTTGGAATAAGTTTAACTAAATGCATGACTGATCGAAGTTGTGACACATAAGATTCGGTAGGCGATACAATACTTGTAGCATTCAGCATATCTGACGGTAATCTAAGTGTAGTAGTACCGTAGACAAGTTCAGCGCAAGTAGCATTTATATCTTTCTTGATGGCAGATCTAATACCCAACAGAACAATAGGCAGAATTTCAGTCCATTTTGAGTTGTTATGAGCCATTATTGAACTTTTAAGTTGCCTACAAAATCTCTCAATCAGTTCATTGGACTGAGGATGATAAGCAATAGTTCTAATGCGATGTGTACCCAAAATTTTCATTAAATCCTTAAATAAGTGAGATTCAAAATTTCGGCCACGATCAGTTGTTATTGATACCGGGCAGCCAAATATTGCTATCCAGTTATGCACTAACACTTTGCAAGTCGTCTGAGCTGACACGTCAGCAGTAGGTATGACTTCTGGCCATCTGGTAAACCTGTCAATAATTGTCATGCAATAACGGTTACCTTCAGGCGGTGGAAGAGGACCTATGAAATTAATATGGATATGTACAAATCTTGCATCAGGCAAGGAAAAGGTACCCAACGGTCATTTCGTAAGCCTATGAATTTTGAAACGTTGGCACTAGACATGACTGAACTGCAGTTTTAATAAATTTCTTCATATTAGGCCAAAAATAGCGCTTAGTAATTAATTTTGTTGAAGTTGAAATACCAGCATGAGAAAGACAGTCAATCTTCTGAAATATTTTAGAGCGAAAAGATTCAGGTATGAACGATCGAGGTATACCTGTGTCCATATTACAGTAAAGAGTAACATCTTCTAAAGGCAAGTAATGTTTCTCAAGTTTAAAAACTGGTGAAGATTGAGATAAGGAATTTTGAATTTCAGAGTCCTGAATTTGTACTTCGGATAACTTTTTATAATCAATGCGTTGATTATCAGATACTGCATCTATTTCTCCCCTAGATAAGGCATCAGCTACGGTATTGTCACTACCTTTGATGTATCGTATGTCAGTGGAAAATTGGCCAATAAAATCAAGATAACGAAGTTGTCGTGGGGAACACTTTTCGAGCTTCTGCTTAAAAGCATATATTAAGGGCTTTTGATCAGTGAAGACCCTGCCTTCAAGCATGTGCCGAAACTTCCTAATAGACAAATAAATTGCCAATAGTTCTCGATCATAAGTTGACCATTTCCTTTGACTTTTGCTGGGTTTAACGGATAGAAACGCAATGGGTTCTCAAACTGAATTATGCAGTTGCATGAATGAGCTACCAACCGCAACATCCGATGCATCAGTACAAAGTTTCAAAGTTGCACCAGGAATTGGGTGTTTGAGAATGGTTGCCTCAGCAATTGCCTTTTTTGCATTTTCGAATGCTTTCTCGGCTTCATCGTCCCATTCGAGAGGATATTCTTTTGCTTTGCTTGGTTGGGAAGGTTCCTTTTTATTAATGCAGCCTTCCAGTAACCTATTCAAGGGAGCTAAAACATGTGGAGCTCTTGGGACAAAACGTATGTAAAAATTAAATATGCCAAGAAATTTCCTTAACTGAGTTAATGTATTTGGTTTAGGAAATTTTTGAATAGCTTCTACCCTCTCGGGTAAAGGTTTTAAACCCTATTCAGATACATGAAAACCAAAAAATCCCAAAGAAGTTAAACCAAAAATGCATTTATATACACTAAGTCTTAACCCATAATTACTTAATCTTCCAAAAAGGGCTTTTAAGTGTATCAAATGCTCATTTTCGTCTTTTGACGCTATCAATATATCGTCGACAAAAGCAAATACTCCTGGCAGCTCGCGAGTTACTTCATCAATAAAGCGTTGAAAGGTCGCAGCTGCATTGCATAACCCAAATTGCATTCTTGCGCTCTCAAAAAGTCCAAAAGGCAAAAGCCGTTTATGGCGGTTTATGGCAATAGCCGTTTTATGGATATCAGAGGGATTAATTGGAATTTGGTGATATGCTTTAACCAAATCTAATCGAGAAAATACCTTTGTTTCATGTAACTCCGCTGCAAAATCGCAAATATTGGGAATAGGATACTTATATCTCACTATCTGTCGTTTAACATCCGAAAATCTCCCACAAGTCTCAATTCGTTTGTGCCTTTTTTTGACACCATGTGAAGAGGAGAGGAGTAATTACTTTTGGAGGGTGGCATGTGACCTCAATCGATCATTTTCTGAATTTCATGCTTAGCAATTTTTAATCAATCTGGAGCTAGTCTCCTTAGCTTACATGAAACAGGAGGGCCAATGGTTTCAATGAAATGCATAGTATTATGCTTAACAGTCCTAATGAGATCAGGAAGCTTTGACAGTGAAGGATAGTTAGAGAGTAATTTATCATAAATACAATTTATTATAATTGTTTTAACAGAATATAAATGTGTGTTAATTACTCTGCAATTAATTTTTAAATGTGTTTTTAAATCAACAAGTTTTTTGTTCCTTAAATCAGGTAATAAATCAAAATAATGCAAGAAATCAGATCCAATAATATTTGTTGACACTTTACACATATAAAAAGTAACATTAAAATTACGACGAAGTCCAAGGTCAATACTTAACGCTTTTTGTCCGTAAACTGGAATAGTTGTACAATTTGCTGCAGAAAACGTCATAATAGGTGTTTGACGCGCTTCCTGTCTGGTTGCTGAAAGAAGACTGACGTCTGAGCCAGTGTCGCACAAAAATATTCTATTCGATTTCCTGTCTCTAATGAAAAGACGACGAGATTCAGAGGGTAAAGAGCATGTCGCCACTACACTTTCCCAGTACATTTCCCTGGAATGTACATGGTGGAACACACGTTTTAGCTTTATCGCTAAATTTATGATAATACCAGCAATAGGAACAGTTCGAAGCAGCTTTAGCTGAAGGGCTTCGCTTCCTGTTATGGCGATTTTTGGAAATACTGCGTGATCGTCGTAGAGACAAAACCTCGCGACGCAACTTGCGTACTTCCTCCAGCAGGGAATCCAATTTAGAATACTCAGAGACATTGAGAGGTACACGAGAAGAAACTTCGCTTACCTGAGCAGGTGTAACTTCCAATATTCTATACTGTCAGCTTTCGATGAATCGAGCGGCTCAACCGACGCTACTACTAATAGACTGAACATTTGGCGGCATCTGGTGCATGAATAATTCCAGTAACAAAGAGTCATGCACGTTGTATTTTTCAGCCCGCCTACTCATTACTCGTTGAAGTTCTGATGGCTTTCTATCTCCAAGTTGCTCGCCGGTTTGTAATTTCACTCGTACTGCTTTCACCACAGCGTTCCGTAATAGCAGCTTTGAAGTCTACTTAAGAAGCATCTGTACGTTCCCGGAGAATGATATCTCTAACCAATGCAGCAATTTCCGGCGGCAAATGAGCGACGCAGTAGTTAAATTTTGTCTTTGGATCCGTGATAGGCTTGGGTGCGGCTAAAGCAAAAGTTGCCTCACACATAGCAAACCACAATGCCGGGTCAATCGGATTATAAATTGGAATCTTGACAGCTGCTGTTTCCTCCATGTCAGCGGCTGAAGGGAAAAAACACAAAAGTTCTGGAACCAAGCTTTTGAACGAACAACCAGTATAAGGTTCATGCGAGTAGCCGGATCGCCATTTTATGGTCGTTGTCGCCAGGTCACCATTCTATGGCGGCGTGGTGGTTATGTCTTGGTGTATATCCTTGAATTTACATGACTCCTTTTCTTTAAACATAACTTTTATTTACACACACCATAACTTTAAGCACAACTGAAATAACAGAACGAATAACAAAACCACTAAACTAAAATTCAAACATCCTATGCTGCAGCTAATGGGGAAGTGAGCGAGTTCACTGCCGCGCTAGCAGTTTTTACATAAACCACATGACGTGAATTGGCTGCGCACGCAGTCGAACATTAGATTGCTACAATATTATGAATTATACATCGGAGGAGAAATCCATACTGCTTTTAGAATTTACGAGAGATGCATAATGAAAATAAATTTATTCATTATGCGTTTCACCGGAATGCATATTCAATAACTTTTACCTGTATATTTACTGACGTTAGACCCAGCCGTAGTTTCTTCGAAATTCATGGGTAAAAACGGGGAAAAAAAAAAACTTCTGCTTCTTCCCCAATTTTATTTTTGATGTGAGATTGGAAATTCACATTAAGCTTTATTAATAAATATTGCCCTAAATGTGTCTCATTATTTTATTTTTACTGTATCATTGTTGTTTTCTTTACATGTTTTTCGAACAATTTATTTATAATTTTGTTTTATTAATTTATCTACAATTTATTTCAATTTTATATTACTAAGACATGAGATCACTCTGTAGTATGTTCCAATTTAACACTTTCTCATAAATTTGGCAGGGAAAGCAATCAATATTTTGATTCTGAATTTCTCAACAGCAGTAGTAAAGAAGACATGTTTGGAGAGAAGACGCTTAACAGAAAACAGATGACTGTCTCATTTACGGTTCTTAGGAAATAAAGTTTCCATTTCTGGACGGTATTATTTCTTTTAGAATTAAAATTTGTCACATTTCTTTGAAATAAGTTAAAGAATCTTTATATTGTCTGTATAAGCTACAAGTATAGCCCTTCGTCTTTCCCAAGAGGCCGGAAACGTTGCTAATTAAGCATTCGTCAGTAATAGCCAAACCCGCCAGTCATTTAACCGTCTAATGTTCGAAAACGTTGCCCAGGAGACACCACAATGGACGACAGAATCACTCCTCTGAAAAAAGGAATATCCGTCTCAAATTTGAATGAGAATATTCTAGCGCATATCCCCGAGGGTATCCAATCACTCTTCTCTTACCAACAAAGAGAAAACTCTCTAGAGGATGTTTTCAACAATATTTTAACAATCTCGATATCGGAAAGGCAATATGCACCTACAAATATCCAAGCATTATCTAATTTCCAGCCCAAAGATAAGCATGCGGTAGAGAGATAAACGTCACAAACTAAGATGGTTGAATTTTAAGTAACGCATGGCCATTCTAAAAAAAAAAAAACGATTTCAAAACCATGTTATTTTAAACTAATATCTAGAAACCGTAAATTTGTTCAATGTTAATTGCCTAGTTTTTAATAATCACAAAAAGCATATAACCGCGTGAAGCCGCATAAATTGTATTGCATCCTGCTATTGCTTTTAGCCAATTATAGCAGAATGCACTTAAAATTTATGCGTAGACTGTAAAGTTACCTAAAACGTTAGTCAAAATGTCAAAGGAAATCGTAAACGGAGAGAAGTTTGGTACATTTTTGTATTAAATAAAGGTGTTATTCATAATAAAGTAGATGTTTCTTCGAATTAATTTGCGTTTCTTAAAACTATACTATATTTACAAAATAAAATTATAAAATTCATTCATAATAAAATAGATTCTTTTGAGTGAATTTGAGTTTCTTAAAACTACATTATATTTATAGAAACATATATAAAGAATAATTTATCAGAATATGACTGAAGGTAATATTTACTTTCTGGAAAAAGTAATTATATAATTATTAAGATTGTATTGCTCTTTATTCTAGAAACGAGCTAATGAAGTATTGTTATAAATAAACAAAAATTCACAAAAACATTTTCATTAACATTCGGTTTCATGTTCAACAAATTCTCCATAGCTTAATAAGTGATAATTAATTTTCATTTCGAATGGAAGTGGAAATATTACCCTATGCATTTAATTTCCTAGAAGGGCACAGATATCCGTAAAAAATCTATAAAGGCTTAAAAAACGACTTATACATTTACGCTGTAAATTACTTTATTAATTCTTAAGCATTACACAAGTTTAACTTTTTTTACGATAAATAATGGTGCTTTATTTTATCAAATTTTTCTTTGGAATAATAAAACTGCTGCTTTCCTTTTAATGTATGTATGCACTTTTAAGCTTAATCTTTAAACACTTTTCGTTCATACATGTAATGCACATGGAATAAATATTATGAATACGATTTTTGGATTCAAGTTTTATTAGCTTAATTTATACTGATATACGAATAAAAAAAACAGTTTAGGAAATGGCTCTCTACATACAACAGCCAATTAAAAATTTAACAAACAACTACATGAAACTGACGAAAATGAAAATATCCATATTCTTTAATTTTAGAGGGAGAATTTTGTTTATTTGAATTATGGAAAAGCACATGAGCGCTAATTATAATAGAAGGAATGCCTTTGTGAGGATTTTACGAGAGTAACTATTTCTCATTCACGGTATGTGTAGATAAAACCACTAAAACTCATCTACAGTCACCAGAGTTTGAGCTCAAGAGAGTTTACCTATTGTCCTCAGCTCTAGAAGCAACCGATATGAAATTTCAACTTGTCCTAACAAGGATTCTAGCATCGATCCTCCAGCATGTTATTAGAACTTGTTAGGCATTTGCAAAACGAGAGATATCAATATTTGCTTTAGAAATTCTCAAAGGCAATAGTAAAAATAGTAAAAAGACCTGTTTGGAGAGAAGGCGTTTAACAGAAAACAGATGACTGTCTGGATTACGGTTATACGGAAAAAAAGTTTCCATTTCTGGATGGTATTATTTCTCGTAAAATTAACATTTATCACATTGCTTTGAAAGAACTTAAATAATAACTAACTTGAATTTTATAAGCTATAAATATAGCCCTTCGCCTTTACCCAAGAGGCCGAAAACTTTGTTAATTAAGTATTCATCACAAATAGCCAACCCCGTCAGTCATTTTACTGTTTCATGACCGAAAAAAGTGCCCAACGACTAAATTACTCATCTGAAAAGAGGAATATCCGTCTCAACTTTGAATGGGAATTTTCTAGCGAATCAATCCGAGGGTATTCAATCACTATTCTCTTACCAACAACTTCTTTTGAGGATTTTTGTTCGACAATATTGTAACAGCCTCGATACCGCAAGGGCAACATACCCGCAGCGCAGTGCAATAAGTCTGTATGTTATCCCCCGTTTTAAAGGGCGACTGGGGAGATGCTTAAAATAATCGACAGTGTCCTGGTGGTCACGATTGGCGGGTGGCGTTCGTACCCCGAGGACAAATTTTCAAAACCGACCGCTTGCGGGAGGAGACCTGGCATCTGATCTTAGGAGCGGACGGCGGCACCTGACTTGGAGGTTGATTATCCTAAACCTGCTGGAACTAACCGTGCGCGGAAAGGAAAGGCAGGAGACCTGGTGTTCGACCGAAGTGCAGGGGTTGAGGGAATAGAGACGGGGAAACCTGTTTTCGTCTCCCTCAGTTCAACATCAGCTTCTTCATGGAGCCATCTGGTAACTATGTCGGCTGGGGTTTCGGCTTTGGCTGGCATAGGCTAATGATGCTGGACAACCCATCCCTTGGGATAGACTGGTAGGAATTTCTGGAACCGACCATTTATGGGAGGAGACCCGGGGTTCTTCCAGACCACTGGCTGGACTTGTGTCCTGACAGCTTCGGTTTGTTGGGTAGATAATCAGTCTTCACAGTGACTATCCTTTACGTGGTGGTAGGTTCAGGCTTGGCAGGGACCGTACTGGTACTGTCGTGTCTGTGACCTTGGATGTGGGGACGCTCTCATGTAGATATTAAGTCTGCTCCCCAATCAGTTTACGGCTTTTAATTTTCTTTGTTCCGGCCATATGTTTTTGGTGCACTTTCTGACTGTTCAACTGAATTCAATGTTCTTTGCATAGTTCCAAAAGCCAAAGAGTCAGGTTGAGTTGTTCTGTTCCGGTGCACCGGAACATACTCCCACCCTATCAGGCATTAGTCCTGATATATGGGCAAAGGTGCTAATTTATGAATGTTTCTTTTAAAAATAGAGCTTTTAGTTTTAACCGTGGCCACACGAACCAGTCCGTCAGCACCATGATGAAGTTCGACCACTTGTCCTAGTGGCCAAGAACCTGGAAGATGACCATTATCTAGTAACAGGACGATGTGTCCAATTTTTATATTCGGCTGAGTGTCCTTCCATTTCTTTCTGGTTTCAAGAGAAGATAGATATGCTTTGGTCCATGATTTGCAGAAGTCCTTCCGCATCTTTTGAAGGAGATCCCACCTATTCCGTATATTAGCAGGACTAGTAAGAGGTAGTTCAGGAGGGGATAGGAGCACGTCTCCTGTAAGAAAATGTGAAGGAGTGAGAATAATAATGCAATCAATGTCAGTATTGCTTACACTACATAACTACATAACGGACGAGAATTTAAAATGGCTTCTATCTGAGCCAATAGAGTTGTCAATTCTTCGAAAGTAAGTAGAGTTTTCATCGATTACTCTTTTACAGTGATATTTGGTTGATTTAATTGCGGCCTCCTAAATTCCTCCGAAAAGAGGAGATGCTGGAGGTATAAAGTGCCATTCTATTGATGCTTGAGTTAAATGATGAGCAACGGCTTCGTTCTTAGGAAGTGAAGCCCATAATCGTTGTATTTCGCTGAGCTTTCGATTCGCCACAACGAAGTTTGTTGCATTGTCGCTGTAAATGTGTCTTGGAGCTCCTCGTCTAGCACTGAAGCGACGCAAAGCAGCTAAAAATGCATCAGCGGTTAAATCGCTCACTGCCTCGATGTGTAGTGCCTTAGTAGCGAGACAAATAAATAGAGCAATATAACCCTTGGTTGATTTTGCTCCACGACTCTTGTTGAATTTGATTGAAATAGGGCCGGCATAGTCCACTCCGCAGTTGAAGAAGGCCTACTCGCAGTGTTACACGATGCTTAGGGTAGATTACCCATAAGCTGGAGATGCGGTGGATGCTTTAAATTTGAAGCATTTGATGCATTTGTGAACACATTTATTAATGAGCTTTTTTCCACCTATTGATCCAATTATGATCTTTGTTTGATAATGTGGAGACAGTAATGAAGGCCCAGCATGTAAACAAGTCACATGCTTTTCTTTTACGATGAGCTCACTTATCTAGTGTTTAGCAGGTAGAATCACTGGGATGATTTTGATTAAAAGACAATTCTGAAATTTTGTAAACGCCCTTCCCACCCGTAAAAGACTGTTTTCATCTATAAACGGATGGAGGGAATGTCAGCTGACTTTTCTTAGGCAACGATCTTTGATTTTTTAATGCATTTTAGGTCTTCATTAAACTAATCTAAAAAGATTCTGAACTAACCGTAATCTTTCTGAACCCATCGAATATGATTACTTCTGCATTTTTAGTTTCCGTGTATGTGAGTGGAGAAAAGGAATCAGTTATAAGTGTTTGACATTTGTTATTGGTTTTGCACTTAGTGACCGTTGATGAATCTTAAACAATATGCTAAAATGCGTATAATCTTAGAAAATGATAAATATTTTTCAAATAAATCACTGTATAATTCATTTGATGTAGCACTATGAAATGAAAATATAGGATCCGATCGTTGTTCAGCTTTTATTAGATCCTTGATTTCTCTGGAAGTTTATTACGAATTTTACTACAAGAAATATCTTTTACGTTCTGGAAATATTGATATGATTTGTTTTGATTCTAATATTATTACTAAATATGTTTTTGAAAAATTTAATGTACATTTATTACACCCTGTAAATGGAATCAATTATGGGTTTGATAGAGAAATTCCAAAAATTGGAATATATGATATTTATACGGATGGTTCGGGATTAGGGGGGGTGTACTGGAGCTGCTTTTGTTGTATATTTCTATGATGTTGAAATTGATTATGGTTTATATAGATTGAATTCTTATAATTCAGTATTTCAAGCGGAATGTATTGCTGTTTTGAAGGCCTTGAAAAGGTGAAAAGGATTAAAATGAATATTAAAACATGTGTTACTATAAATTTGTATACTGATTGTCTTTCTTTCCTCCAGTCGCTCTCTTGCCCCGATAATGTTAACTGTATTATTATTGATATTAAATTTCTGTTGCAATCTATCTGTTCTACGATTTCTTTTCATTGGATTAAACCCATGTGGGGTTTTTTGGTAATGAGAGGGCTGACAGTCTGGCCAAGGAGGCATGTATTTCAGCTAATGCACCCATTGTGGAAATTTCTGGTTCTAGACAAATTGCCATTATGAGTATGAAGAAATATTATATAAATATATGGAGAGATGTGTGGAAAAGTTCAACAAAAAAAATAATTTTTTGATTAATATTGAAATTACAGATAAAGTTTTAATCTATGATGGCGTTGATATGAATCAGATTATCACCGGACATGGTAGGTTTCCTCATTATTTAAAGAGATTTCATGTACAAGATAATGATCTATGTCCAAATTGTAATGTTTTGGGTGATGCCAAACACTTCGTGGTGGATTGGACTAATTTTATTAGACGAAGTTTTAGTGATATACATTTTGATTTATTGAATTTTGATTTTAAACATTTTAAATTATATGCAAGAGAATTGATGGCCTTTATTAATGGCAATAGACATGCGATTTGGGTTTTTAACTAAGTTCGTTTTATTTTAGGATGTCTTTTTCGTCGTGTTTTGATGATATGTGTGACTGTATGTCATATTTTCGTTGTGTGTTTTATGTGTGTTTTCCTTCCTTATGGCAATAGACGTCCGATTGGGATTTTTAACTAAGTTCGTTTTATTTTCAATGTGTTTATTTTAGGATGTCTTTTTCGTCGTGTTTTGATGATATGTGTGACTGTATGTCATATTTTCGTTGTGTGTTTTATGTATGTTTTCCTTCCTTATTTTATGTTATCATTTTTTACTAACAATGTTTTCTTGATTTAGATATTTTTGGTTTTCATCTTTCCTGTTGTGTCGTTAATCCAGCCATTTAAAAAAATATATATATATAGTTGTATGGCAACCTTGCTGGATGTATAATTATTATTTTATTTAGTTGATTATACTAACATTTTTAGTTACTCTGAATACTGGGCTTGGTTTCTTGGAGCTTTGAAATTTAGGTTAAATGCTAAAGTTGCTTCGTGTATAATATCTTGGATTAGTTGTTCTTTTTTATTAATCTGGCGTTTTAACTTTTGTTGGGGGACTCCCGGTTCGCTGGCTGCCTTCGCTTGTGGTGTGAATGGGACGCCCCTTTCGGGACCATAAGATCACTTTGTGATCAGGTGGGTTGGGGCGTTCTAGCAAAAAACAAAAACAAAAAACAGTATTAGGATTCTGGAAACAAGTCTGCATAGAAGATCAGCTGAATTCTTGCTGTAATTCAAAGCACGGATCTATCTTCCAGTTTGCTACCGTGCAGACCTGCTAACCTCTTAAATTAAGAGGCGACGAGCAGTGTAATGCGATAATCCCTCCTAAGTAAAGGAATTATAATAGTCACGGAAAATTCCGGGTACCATATTTCAACGAAAACATCCATTTTGTCCGCTAACGAATGCTATTTAACGATGTTTCGTGCTTGTCATCTGTTAATAACGACATAATAAAGAACTCTTTTCCTCCAAACGAATTACAAAACTGATTTAAAATGGGTTCAAAAGATATTTTTTGATGGTGGCCGTACGTATGTGCGTATGTATGTAATACGGATTTACGAAGAACGCGAGTCCGTGAAATATAAGAATGTGTTAAAGTTCGCGTGTTTATTCTGGCATTTGTGAAATTTTATGAGTTATTAATATTAATAAATATTAATAAATTCTTAATCTAGATTAGCACCTAATCTGTTGCCCAAAAATAATTTTATATTTTTATGTTTATAAAAATTATTTTATATTAAATTGTTTTATATTTTTATGAAGATTTATTCCTATCTCATAATTCGAAATCAGTTTCGCATTTTATAAACATTGACATCTATCAGAGGCACAGTTTCTTTGAAATATATTGTGACATCTAATTCTTGAGTTGAATAAATAAATAAATAAAAAGTCGATGTTTATATTTTAAAGTACACTCACGTTTGTGAAAATTGCAACACCATGAAGGACTTACGCGAGTGAGCTGAAATTTTCAAGAAATGCAAAGTAGCGCATGATATGCAAATGATTAGAATTGCAAATCCGTAGCGCATGCGTATGCTGAGCAGCGCCCCTCTGAACGGCTGATGGATCCGAATAAATAGACGGCTGTAGCGAGGCGTGTATGGTTATCGGTGGTTATCTGCTAGTGGTAAACGTTAACTCAATCTGTACTTATGCCTCGTCGACGAAAGAGAGCGAGATTTGAACAACTTACAGAGTTTGAACGAGGGAGGATTGTCGTATCGTGCAGTAGCCTCTCGTGTGCAGCGTAACAGCAGCACAGTGATGCGCGTTTGGAAGCAGTGGACGGACGAGTGTCGGACAACTCGGGAAATCGGGAGTGGACCCCGAAATGTGACGTCAGCTCGCGATGATAGACCTGGTCGCATGGCGCGGACGGACCGTACAGCTTCCTCTAGACAATGGGCAGCACTGTGGTCAATAGC